CATAACATCACTAAAGTACCTATTCATGGTGAGCTACTCTCTGCAAATGCGGGGTATTGCACTGCCGGATAGACCTGCACATTAGCATGATTACTGATAAAATAATCATGATTATTTCCATATTATGAATAATGTCAGGTGTTCTACCAAGGGCAGGCCCACACCACAGAGCACTATTACTCAATTCCTCTCTATCTCAAAAAAAAAAGATATGTCTGCAAAATTATCATAGTCTCGCAATAGGTTGTTTTATAAACATATCACCAAACTCCGAATGGTGGAGAAAAATGGTTGAAGAAAATTGTATCACTTTTCATTTTTGCTCGGGATGCATGCTTATCAATCTGATAACTTTGGAAATTTAAGACCTATAATGAGTTACCAATATTTATTGATAATTGCATAGTTTTCTCATATGAATCTTCATAATGATTTAAAGTTAAATAAACAACTATGACTAACAAACATTCAAGCGAAAAGTTAGAAAAGTTAGAATTGTACTGTTATTATTCCTATACTTAATTCTCTCTTCTCTTCCTTTCACTATTTTTTCTTTCCTATCAACGTTCTGTTATATACAATGTAATTTTCATAATAATATCTATAATGTTCTTTCGGTAACTGTGTTAATTTATTATGGGCGTTCCCAACTCAAGCTACGCTTTCCGGGTTTTCGCCTCCTTCCGTATCTGAATTAATTACTGTATACTCTATAATGAAATAATTGTTACATATATCATGTATATATACATTGTGTTTTATATTGTGCTGTTGAGAAGGAAATAAATGTTAATAAATACAAATAAATTATTAAGGGATGACTATCAAACGTTGGCTTCTTGTAAATAGCGTCCATCATAACAAGTTGGTCAAGCCCCCGTAATTTAAGCAGCCAACTAATTTCAGTGCTCACATCATTGGAGTCATTTCTTCTTTCTGAGTACCTGATTATAATCGATGGAAAACAGACAAATATCTTGAGATCTATGTCTTGCATAAGGACAACTTATAATGTCATGTCGACATTCGGACCAACCATCTTTAGCATATCGATCCATTAGACAGTTAGAGTATCTAAACCACTCAACTACACGGCAACTCTGGTACTCTACTGAGATAAAGTACTTCTATTGCTGTCATATCTCCAACACTAGGCATGTGCATGTAGTTTAGAATATGCTCAAATGTAACATTCTATGTTTTATAACAATAACAATGGGCTTCTCGCCGAATCTGCCTAAATACACAACATTTTCCCTTCCGTGAAGTCTGATCCTGAGTGACCTCAGATCACTTCTCTTTTTATTTTCGTTGACCTCCCAAACAAAAAATCTCCTTTTCCTGTTTCGACTTCCCGAACTCCAAAACCACTGCAGATAAATATATGAACATGTACTAGCTGTCATGGAAATTCGATTGCATCTTTTTCTCTCATTGCTCCCACATGGATGCAGAAGTTTGTTGGGTATAGTTTAGTTGAAATTGGTGTAGCATTGGTTCATTGGTGTGAAGCGGTATTGCTCAGTAGATGAGTGTTGGGTGCTCTGAGGGTGTCATATATCTGCTTTATAGCACTTGGCAAACGCCAGTTTGGTCTAATTGCCAGTCGGTCTAATTCCCATTATGTCTAATGCCTACTTTGCCAACGATCAATATGGTCTGATAATCATTTAATCATGAATGGATGGTAGACGAAATGGGCATAGGCAACTGCATGAAATAAGGTTAACTGGTTATTAGACTAAATCAACAATAGACCAAATGGGTAGTAGACTTATTGGACATTAGACCAAACGGATATTAGACCAAGTGACTATTAGCCTAAATGGTCATTGGCCCAAACGACAAGAAGACGAAATGATTATGGGACCATCTGGATAGTAGACGGGCTGGGTGTAGACCATATGGGAATAGACTTATTGGGTGGTAGACGAACTGGTTGTAGACCAAACGGCAATTCATCATTTATTTTATTCTTTCACATTGGCGTCCTCTCATCTCTCCTTTCATCATTGTTTTATTTTGTTTGTTTGTTTGTTTGTTTTATCCGATTTTGGCACCTTCTCCACATAGCTATTAAACAACCAATCAATAAAGAATCATTACCCATTTTTTCAACTTAATGGCAATGATGACATTTATAACAATCAGCTAAATTGATTGGTTAATAGACATCCTAGTATCGCTAGGTGTGAGGTATCACCCGCAGCGGCATTAAAAAAAAAGAGTACATGAAACATTCTGTATGTAAATGTGAGCCTATTATTGCTTTAAAGTGTTAGCGGTTAATTACACCGAGATCCCTTTCTCGATTGTCTTTTTGTTTAATTATAAATGTAATCTGACGTATGCACGGAGAACAATCATGCTATTATTTTATAACCTTAGTATATGCAAATCATTTGACGGAGTGAGTGGTATATATGGAAAGTGGTAATTTAGTCATATCCTGCCTCAACCGTACGGACAGTTAATTCGAGTTCATGAACTTTCGTTCATAACAATTGAGACCATGCTGTTTAGTCTGTAGAACCAAATTGGTTCAAATTATTTTGATTGATTGATTGATTGATTCGAATTTATTCCATTTCATATCAATTGATTGCACAATAAAAAAAACATGGTTGACAAAGTAAGTTAAATTTATCAAATGAAACAGGAACATACTGGAAAGCAAAACTTTTTTTGTAGGTTCCTAAAAATAAATATGATATGAACATTATTTTCATAAATCATTTTAAAGTGTCTTATTAATCACAGTAAAATAAATATAAAAAAATGGTTGGTGAACCTCCACCAAACTTTAATGTTTCAGCAAGATATCATTTCTAAATTTATATCGGGAGCATCTACAAATAAACGACATTAAATAAAAGAAAGAAATAAACCGAACAACAACAACAACAATACGACCAACTGGTAATAAGGGGGACACGTCGGAATAAACTTTATAAGAATAATAATGATATAATATCGAATATTTAGGAGCGCTATAAACAATAAGTACCATAGCGCTTACAAATAGAAATATATGAAATGAGAACAAAAAAATTTACAGTCTCACAGGATATAGATCACATAGATCACTGAGGAAAAGGTTAATTTTGAAGGATCTTTTGAAGGTGGCAAGACAGGTACAATAGAAACGGAAAGAAGCTTGCGACAGAGACCACATACCATTAAATATGTAGAGAGACTTATACAATTGAAAAAGGGTATCAAATTTTTAATATGAATTTTCTTTATCCAGTCATTTGGATTCCTTCGAATAAAATTCCTCCAAGAAGTGCTTCTGATTTTTCATATTCTACCTTTGAAGTCATGGCTAAATTCTCCTTTTTAAGGAGAAAAACGAAAGAAGAAAGCAAAGGGAGGGAATTGAATATACCCTTCGGGTAAAAGAAATCCGAGAAAAGGAAACCGAAGAGTTGTCAGAAAGCCAGAAAAAACACCATCTAGGGGCGGAGGAAAAGAAAGTTTGTCTAGGTTGGCAAGCTTCTTAGATACAATAACATTTTTTCTTCTGCTGTAATAGTAGCTCGTATCAAACGTGACAGGACATTTCGAGAAACCTTTAGTGACTTGGGAGAGTCGAATTTCTTGAGCTGCTTCGTGGTTGCATATTATCATCGACAAGGCATCCCCCAAAATGCTTTTAATTTTCAGGACAGTGTGTATTATCCACCCACGTAACACTCGTCACTAACATTGATATAAATCGCCATTAAAGAATATACATATGTGCAAGTTTGGCCCGACTTGTACTGACGATAAATAGGGGGAAAGGGAAACTCTTCTTAATGCCCCAACGGTAGAAAAGGTTTATATTGAAACAAATATATAGAAAGCATGAATCTTGTTTGCTCTGTTTGTACTTTTCGTTGGCCCGTTATCAAATAAAGAACGAAAGAACATAACATTATTGGCTGCAGAAAACGGGCCTGTTTTTGTTTTTATACCAATCAAAGTGTTTATCAACTTCGTAGTTTGGCAGCGCTCGATGTGATTGAAATACATGTAGGCCTACTACTAAATATTGGGTTTGGGTGCATTTGATAAACTGTGATGTGGTGTATTAATAATAATAATGGTGGTGGCTTCTTATAAAGCGCACATGTCCGTCATGTTGTGACGCTCCTGGCGCTACCCCGATTATTACCCTGGCTTTAGCAAGGCAGCCACTGCGGCGCTCTAGCATTTATTAAGGAATTAATTCCTACCAGGTACCCATTTACATCACCTAGGTTGAGTGTGGCAACTGAAAATCAATGTTAAAGTCAGTGGACTTTGCAAGGGGTTCGAGTCCCTACTTCGCTAATGTTCTTTGGCAAGACATCAAATGGTGGGGAGGGGGGAGTGTAGAAGTAAAAGAGAAGGATAGAGAAAATTACGGAAAGGGCGATAGGATCCCCTGCTGTGCCCTCAGCCAATAATTGTTCGGGGGAGGATAAAACCAGTAAAAGTAAAATATAAGGATATAGAGAGAACCAGGGGGAACGGTCGATAGAACCTCCTCTTCGATCGGCACAGCCGCTCCCCATAATAGTAACTTTGTAAATTCCGATTTTATTTTCCGAATATGACCGGTACATACACCCACCATGATATCATTGCCCCCCCCCCCCCCCCAGCCCCCATATATGGTGTCACACTAAGCCACTGAACTAACCTGCGTTATATAACACTGGGAATATTATTGATATTTTAATCATCAATATTTTATTGGTTCCATAATTCGACGATTTCACTCCACTGTATGAAACTGTATTTTTCCCCACAAAATTCGACCGCAATAATGCCACCGGCCTTATCGTCTAAATGCACAGAAAATTTGATTGTATTATGAAGCAATGGGATATTCATATTTTAGTTCGTTTTCTTTAGGTTATCGACCTAGGAAAATAAGAATATACAAAAGTGTTGAGGGCGGTATACTTTGAAAACGCGAAAATCACTATACCACTTACTACTACCACCACCACCATCACAACAAAACATAGCAGCAGCGCGGAGTGTTCGTATATTCATTCATTTCGAGCGCAAAGGCTGAAGACCTCACCAGAGAAAACTGTCACGCAAAGTGGTTGGTGGAAATGTATTCATTCTATTCCCTTTGATAGACAAAAGGGGAGAAAAAGCATAATCTAACTGACGATTAATCAAAGAAAGCCTCTTCCTCGCTGTTGTGTGAAAACCGCTCCATTCACCGACTTCACTCAAGCGAGCACACGTACATTGCATCGCAGTTCCGACGTTTATACCCCCAACAAAACCCAAACAAATCTCTCACTCGCTGTTATTATATCCTACTTGCTTGTGCTGTGAGGAAGTTACCGGGTCGGATAGGGTCACATAGCTTGGTATCTGGAGCAGCTAGCAAATGATGGAGGGGCACTGGAGTGTACTGGTGCTGGTAGTTATCGCATGCCTGGGACCGCCCGTGTGTACATGTGAGTACCCCTTATGAATTTTAAGTACTCCCGTGCAAGTTATTTTTTCCCACGCTCTTGCTATTTCGGTAGAAAATATATACTCCAGAATATAAGATGGTTATTCTACTATTATTTCACTTAATGTTCTGTGTGATCGTATTTCCACTTCTCTTGGGTGTTCCAACCAATATTAATGTAATTATTCAATAATGATTCATAGATTTATATCCATACCATATATTTTGTTTTAGTTGGCCTAAACTAGAAATCCAATATGTTATCATCAATCATATTGCTAATCTATATCGTTGTTCCAAAAAAAATGTGCGAATCAACTCCAGCGGTCCGAGTCCTGCCACGGCACGTCCTTAGGCAAGACATTAATCTACAATTGCCACTCTTCGCCCAGGTGAAGTAAATGAGTACCCGGTAGCAAGAAATATCTTGAATGCTTTAGCTTTAGCGCCTTATTATGGCGGCTCAGCTGTACAGCCGGGACCAGGTAATAACACTTTGTATAACTTTAAAGCGTGGCAGAGTATAATCATAGTAGCTGCTCTATACAAATGGACATTTCATTATTATTATACCCCGGCATTATACATCCTAAAGTAAATGTGGTACATTCATATCTATGCATTTGATCACTATTCAATGTCAAGTTAAGATTACAGCCTAGGACTCATTATTAACTTGTGCTTAGGCTTTGGTTCCTGGTTTGAAGTTCCTGGTTTTGCCAAATCTGTGCCAAAACTTTTGTTTATCCATGGAAGTTTTGTTTTTAGAAGCTTCCGCCATGATACTGACAAAAGATAACAAATGTAGGCCTATACATACAACCCAGTCATTTTAAGTTACCTATGGAATATATTCATATACTGGCTTTGATAATACACAGGACTCCGGGAGTGGAAAACCACTGTTTTAGCAGTCATATAACGGAGCCATGTTGTTTGGCCTACCTAGCAACAACTAATGCATGTAATTTGCATTCTGACTATTAAAAAACAATTAATAGTAAGATGTGAATAAAATAATTCGTTTCAAGGCACTTCCACACAGATATATGCATACAATTTGATTAAATTACGAAAATGGGCTATTCCCTCTCTCATATTTTGTTTCCTTCAAAATGTGAATACTTTTATGATTGAATAATGTCATTATTGTTTATTCATTGCGTCATATTTGAAAACATTCGATATTTTTAAATATGACAGCAACCCCTTTAGAATATGTGATATCTAAACATGAATCAATGTTTACCTATAACAAGTAGAAGCATGTATGACATATCACAGGAATGATAGATCGATATGGAAGAATTAGATAACAAACAGAGATAAGAATTTGGACAGTCAAGTATAGAGAAGAATGTATTTATTTTCATGATATTTTCTGATCGTGATTTTCAACAGATTGTTGAGTCGGGCTATTCTGATTGAACTTGAACTTTAGACACCGCACGTAGGTCAATAATGATTGCGCAGAATCTATTGAACATGGGCGCTTTTGGGAAAGGGGTGTAATAACTAATATGATTGCGCAAAATCTTTTTAGCTTGAAGTTCTCTTCTGAGAAGAGGGAAGTCTTCGAGTATAATAGTTGGTAATGGAGTTCAGAAAGGATAATTCAGTCGAGGGCACGACGTTTCATTTAATCGTTGCCTCTAGCTTCCATATCTATCATCCACACACGCGAACGGATTTAAATTGTGACTCATTCTCCTGTAGTTCTCTTTCTCTCTCTCTCTCTTGCTGAAATTGGCACACGCTAAATAATAAAATCCCTTTAATTCGAGTAATTCTGAACAATATTCTATTTTTATTTGTCATGAAGCGACCCCTCTCCCAATAGTGTATCCCTTTTTAATTGAACTGCACCGATTGAAGGAGATGCACACCTCCCCCCTCCCCCCTCCCCCCTCTCCGAATTTATGGGAGTTAAGGGTCCAAACAAAATTGTAAACCTCAATCTATCTATAAAATGAGTAAGTCCTATATTAAACATATTGGATTGGACGTGGGAGTGGACATTACTTTCCGACAGGCAGCAGTTACTGAACTAAAGAAAGAACATTTTGAGCACACGTTTTTAAAGATTCGGCGAGACTGTACAGAATATTGCATCTTTGGACAGGCATTGAACCACGCAGCGATATCCTTGCCGAAATTTGAATCGGAAAGACACTTCACTTCCGAAACATTCTCAGTGGACCAAGCGGAAAGAAGATCCGAAACATTAACAAACTGATTGAAAAAGACATCAGCTTTATTGATCACGATTATGAGGAGTGGCTTTAGACAATGTCAATGGTTACGTTAATGTTCTTGCGAGTCAATTTGGTCATTATACAAAACATTGTAAAAACCTTACCTTATTCGTCGTCTCTTTACATCAGTATTATATCATAATACGTTATGCTATAATCGGAAGGCCTATATACTATTCAATTTAACTATCATTAGAAAATGCGTGAGAAGAATGAAGTTTTCAATAGTAATAGATTAGTTTAATATGAATATGAATGATAAAATACTATCGTCGAAGTATAATAGCTGTATAATAAATTCCATTTCGATAATTGTAGGCATATTAGATTTAGAGGTATATGTAGCAGCAAGGTTAAACCGCAAAGAAAAAGGTTGACCACCCCTTCCTCCTCTAAAATTGTATTTGAACATGATAGTTGTTGGGTTGGTACTTATAATATCTTTGGTTCTTGTGGTTACACGGTCAATACCAAGGGCCTTTTGGGCCAATACATTAGCCAAGAGTGGTCAAGAGTGGTCAATAGTGGTCGACGTATCTCCTTTGTGATGTAAACAAAACCCACATGGGTCAATGTTGTGATGACCACTCCGTGTGTTGTAGCACAGGTGAGGGCGATTAACGCGAGATACTTCAGATTTTGGCGCGGGTTTCTAAGCATCTTGGCGTGGGTTTGTTTACTTAGTCTCCATCCAAGGACTTTGTATCTTTATTTTGTTACCCAAGTCAATATTTTACTTACGGTGTGTGTTGTCCTTCTCTTCCTTGTTGTATATTCCTTCACCCTATCTCTCTCTCGCGCGCTCTCTCTCTATCTCGCTCTCTCTCTCTCTCTCTCTCTCACTGTTTACCTCCATAATTATGTTATCATGCCCTCAGAAAATTCGTTTTACAAAATAATTTTGGCAATGACCAAATATTGATATTGAATATGCGCCCAAGGACCTACATAGCCATAGGTGTACCCTGTAGCTTCTCATCAGTTGTAGCATGCACCCCCCTCTCTCTCTCTCTCTCCTTCAAATGTAAATATTACAACGTTCCTCTTTGTAAGAGGGATCCCTATTCATCAATGGGGGGGGGGGGTGGGCAAATCAGTAAAAATGGAACGCGGTGTCCCGCTATCTGTTGGCCCACTAATAAAACATGAGAGGCTTTTACCTGCGGGGTACTGTCTATTAAAATGCCACTGCACTACAGTACTAGACAGTGGCGAAGTACCAAATTAGTTCTGCGCTTTATCTGACAAAATAATTATGTCCTCATTTTCTACAACTCGCCTTCGGGCCATTCTTATTTTCAAAAGCTTGCATTTTTGGGGGTGTGTGGTATAAGTTGTGAGAAAAGTTTCGAAGCTTGGGATCTTCGCTATTTACTTTCTTGTCTCCCTTTCTTCCGTCTGTCTTTTTATGCTGAGCCGTTCTATTATAATCCAAAGGGATTGTTACATGTAATGCGCTTTGTATCTAAATCTTCAATTTGTATTACGTGAGGTTAAATGGTTTCTGAAGAGGCGAGGTAGGCATATGCTATTTCAGAGGTGTACAAAAAAGCCCAGACGGGTGCAAATGTTTACATATATAGTCCTATACTTGAATATGTTGTACGTATGGAAATGTATAACTCGCATTGCTAGTGTGCATTGAAGTTTAGACCAATTTCAAGTTCTATCTCCCCCCCCCCTCTCTCTCTCTCTCTCCCTCTCTCTCTCTCTCTCTTTCTCTTTATTCGTATTTCAAATTCAATGCTGGTCTCAACACCGCACATGCTGTATTGACCATATCCTTCCGTTATATTAACACAGAATATTAAGCGATAACATATGAATTTCCTCGTTTATTGGATCTATAGTTCATATTTCCCTTCTTCAAAAGGTCATTACAAGGTGAACGTCAACAATGACTGATTTGATATCCTTGCTATGCTATTGAAAGACTTTGATATTGTGTTGGCATAAGTTTACGTTTAGGCCAAACATGAACCTATACTAGGTCCATGGGCCAAGTAAATAACAACCTCCCTCCACCCTCCCATCTAGTCTTCATTACAGACTCTTATCTGACACTAAACCACAATCCCGAAAGCTTTGAGCAGAGCCTAGATATGACAGTGCCCAGTCTGGAACCTATAGTCGTCTCCTTTTGCAGACGCTTTTAGTTTTACACACAACTGACAATAGCATAGGGTATACGGAATCACTGTTGACGTTCACCTTGAAGTGACCTATTGAGGAAAAAAATGAACTATAGATCCCATAAAAGACGAAAATAATATGTTATCGCTTTAATAACTTCGATTTACCTGCAAGGTACCTACCCTCCCTCACCACCCCGCCCCGCCCCGCCCCCCCCCCCACACATATATATATATATATATATATATATATATATATATACACACACACGTAACGCGCATACAAGATAACACACAGGAAAAAGAAATAATAGTAAGGCTTATGTTTTCAAAGGAGTTTAATAAAACATGCAGCTAGGTACTATGAAGACACATCACATTACATGTCCATGTAGTAAAGATGAGTTTCATGTACTCCATTTCTTGCAAGTTCAAGATAGTATCAATTCTTAGCAACCTTGAAAAAGACTATTTCAGGAAGTCGTTCGATCCCCTGCCACGCCTACTTGCGGCGTGGGAAAATCTTCTTCGGAATGCGTTCCCATTCATAGCCTTGTCAGGCCTATTTGGAGTAAACCTCACTACTCTTAGTAGTAAGTCCATGACAATTGTTC